GCCGCCCCCGGCCCGTTGCTAGGGGCCGCTCTCCCGGCCCGCCTTGGATACCGGACGGCGAGGCGGCCGGGACAAACTTCCTGCCAGCGCAGCGCGGAGAGCGGGGCGGGGCGGAATCTCGGGGATAAAACCCCGACACGTCACCCCAGGAAGGGGAAGGGGACTCCCCCAGCTCAGTAGCTCCCCCAAGGAGAGGGAGCCCCCCCAGGGAAGTGGGGGGCAGCCCCCAAAGGAGAGGGAGCCCCCCCAGGGGAAGTGGGGCGCAGCCCCCAAAGGAGAGGGAGCCCCCCCAGGGGAAGTGGGGCGCAGCCCCCAAAGGAGAGGGAGCCCCCCCAGGGGAAGTGGGGCGCAGCCCCCAAAGGAGAGGGAGCCCCCCCAGGGGAAGTGGGGCGCAGCCCCCAAAGGAGAGGGAGCCCCCCCAGGGGAAGTGGGGCGCAGCCCCCAAAGGAGAGGGAGCCCCCCCAGGGGAAGTGGGGCGCAGCCCCCAAAGGAGAGGGAGCCCCCCCAGGGGAAGTGGGGCGCAGCCCCCAAAGGAGAGGGAGCCCCCCCAGGGGAAGTGGGGCGCAGCCCCCAAAGGAGAGGGAGCCCCCCCAGGGGAAGTGGGGCGCAGCCCCCAAAGGAGAGGGAGCCCCCCCAGGGGAAGTGGGGCGCAGCCCCCAAAGGAGAGGGAGCCCCCCCAGGGGAAGTGGGGCGCAGCCCCCAAAGGAGAGGGAGCCCCCCCAGGGGAAGTGGGGCGCAGCCCCCAAAGGAGAGGGAGCCCCCCCAGGGGAAGTGGGGCGCAGCCCCCAAAGGAGAGGGAGCCCCCCCAGGGGAAGTGGGGCGCAGCCCCCAAAGGAGAGGGAGCCCCCCCAGGGGAAGTGGGGCGCAGCCCCCAAAGGAGAGGGAGCCCCCCCAGGGGAAGTGGGGCGCAGCCCCCAAAGGAGAGGGAGCCCCCCCAGGGGAAGTGGGGCGCAGCCCCCAAAGGAGAGGGAGCCCCCCCAGGGGAAGTGGGGCGCAGCCCCCAAAGGAGAGGGAGCCCCCCCAGGGGAAGTGGGGCGCAGCCCCCAAAGGAGAGGGAGCCCCCCCCAGGGGAAATGGGGTGCAGCCCCCAAAGGAGAGGGAGCCCCCCCAGGGGAAGTGGGGGGCAGCCCCCAAAGGAGAGGGAGCCCTCCCCAGGGAAAGTGGGGTGCCGTCTCTCACATCCTGTCTCCACCCTGGCTACACCACCACTGCAAATGCACAGAAAGGGCACCAGTGTGAGCCCTACGCTACAAGCTGACGTGGCAGAATTTGCGTTTGTTTGTTTATTTCATAAGATTAATGTTCCTTTTTAAGCATTTTCTTCTATTTTTAAACAATTTCCGTTTTCACCATTACACAAACGTATCCTTCCATTTGACCCAGATTCATGAGACAGTGACTTTCAAAGTCAATCACGTGAAGCATGAACCAAAAAGCAGCATGCGCCCTAAAATACACCATTGTACACATGTACAGAGCATAGGAAGAAAGAACCCACACACACTTACAGAAACAAAGACAAACAGAAGCAATGACTGAGCATGCTGGACTGTGAACAAAAGATGGTGGCCTTCCTGCTGTTACCAGTCACGAGATGCCACACATGACATCACTCCTAGGATGAGTACCATATAAGTGAGCGCAGCAGGATTAATGAGGCTCCTGTCTCCGACCTCACATTTTCCCCAATTTTCTTGGTAGTGAAATTATTTAAATAAGTTATGAAAGCACAGTCAGAAAAGTTGCCTTAGGAGACTGATAACAAACGTACTCGTAAAAATACTAGTTGTACAAGTGCAGTTATTGTTTTTTAATTTTTCCCGCCTGTCAATAATGAGCAATTAGTGAAGGGTAAGGACAGAGTAAGAGTATTTGTGTAGCCAGATGTGTATATTTTTGTCATATCTGACAGAGAGGTAGCCGTGTCATATTTGTCTCAGAGAGGTAGCCGTGTTAGTCTGTAACTTTAAAAACAACAAGTAGTCCTGTGACACCTTACAGACTAATAAATATATAATAGCATGAGCTTTTGTGGGTAAAACCCACTTCTTTAGATGCTCCAGTCAAGGTCATCTAATGAAGTGGGTTTTACTTGAAATGGCTACACTAGGAAATTATTTCAAAATAACTTATTTTGAAATAGTGTGTCCACCCTACAGGGAAGTCTTGAAATTAGTCCGAGGTAGGCTCCCTCTGTGTGGACGTGCTACCTCAACTTGGAGCCCCAGGAAGCACTGGGGATGGAGGGGTAAACTGAAGCAGTCCATGGTACCTTGCTAAGATCTCTCATTCAAATCCTAAATTTGAGGCAAGGCCTGGAAACACAGAACAAGCAGCTAACATGACCCTGGTTTCCTTGGCAACCACATTCCAAGAGGACCTCACTCCAATAAGACCCTGGCCGGTACCAAAACAAACTTCACGGAAGTCGTTCTCACTGTCTCCTTTAATTCTAGATAATAAACCTGGATCCCAAGGACCACACCAAGGTGAAGCAGTAATCATTCTACAATCTTAATTACAGCAAACAAAGTTGCCATCAACATGTCTTTTGTTTATGTTGGCTTATTTAGCTTGTTAGGAATAACTATCTGTATCATTGATAAGACGTTTAATTGGTGGTGGGCGGAGATACTGTCTAACCTTTGTAGTTTATTGGCTTATGTGCTCATTATGTCTTGCCGCTAGGACCTATGACATTGCTTCTACTCCGGCCACCTGCTGCCTAGATAATTCAATGTAATGTTTTCATTAACTAGTGCTCTCCAGGTTAACCCCTGGTTGGTACTCCACCAGTGCTGGTGTACAATAAATCCTCATCTTGTTTTCACCTGCATCCAGCATGTCCAGAATTATTCCCTACAGGGGAGTAATTACTTAAAAATTACTCTGGGGAGTAATTATTTCAAAATAGCAGCAGTGGAGCATCCAAAGTACCATTATTTTGAAATAACTATTTTGAAAGAAGCGTTTTTCCTCGTGAAAAGCAGGAGTTATTATTTCGAAATAACGGGTTTGGTCGTGTGGATGCACCACTTATTATTTCAAAATAAGGGGAGTAATTTTGAAATAACTCCCCATGTAGACCAAGGCTTAGGTGCCACAGGACTGCTTGTTATTTTAGAGAGAATCTTTCCCCCCCAATATTTCCTATATTTATCAACCAGTTTTGATAAAATGTGAAATGGAGTCAGTTTTTTCTTTTTTAGAGGCCCCACTGGGAGCTGTACAACTGCATCGGGGGATTCTGCACCCAGGATCCATATACTACACTATACCAACTACTCTAACATGGTCCGGGCCTTGTGTTCCATGAACTTTGTAGTCTCTGTCCTTCATCTTTGACTCTGGTGCAGTGCTTCTATGCCATGGAAAATTCCGATCAGCAGGGACCTCCTCCAAATGATTTCCATAGCACCGAGTAGAATATATGGATGCTGCCATCAGAGGTGTGATTGCAGTCTATGTACACATACATACCTGAGCTAGCTTTGATCGAGCTAGCTTGAATAACAACAGCAGTGAAGTCCAGGTAGCGTGGGCTGTGCAAACCTGGCGGGGGTCCACTCAAATGGGCTGGCAGAGCCATGCTCATGTGTTGAGCCTGAGGCTACATCTAGACTACAAGCCTTTTTCGAAAGAGAGCATCTAGACTACAAGCAGATTTTTCAAAAAAGCGAGCCGCTTTTTCGAAAGAAAGTCTAGACGCTCTCTTTCGAAAAAGCACAGTTTGCATTCAATAGCGCCTTTTTTCGAAAAAATACTTCAAAAAAAGGCGTTATACCTCATATAATGAGGTTTACCGCAATTGAAAAAAAACTACCGCATTCTTTCGATTTACTTTCGAAGGAATGCGGCTGCAGTCTAGATGCAGATGAAGTTTTTTTGAAAAGCTACTTTAAAAAAAAACAAACCTGTAGTCGAGACACACCCTTAGAGGCCACTAGATGTCAGAGTTTCCCCATGCAAGTGTGAAATGCAAACCTAAGGGTATGAGGGGCATGATCTGATTTTAAAATCACTGACCTCTAGCTGACCCACACTTTGATTTTTATATCTCATAAACTGCAGTTGTTTTCTATCCCCCTTCCGCTATTTGGGAAAATTCCAATAATGTAGTAGACAGCCAATGTCCATGGGTCTAGGAAGAGATTTATTCCATAATCATCCATGGCAGGGTTTCTTGCATTTTGTTCTGAAGCTTTGAGTACTGGTGCACGGTTCCAGGCAGAATACTGGGTGAGGTTTGCAGCGGAGCTGATGCTGTATAACAGTTCTTATGTTCCTGGCCTTCCCTCTTCTCCAAAAATCACAGGTGAGAGGAAGAGGCTAAATTCTTCATCTGTACACCGTTTTCTGCTGCTGGACTCTTCAGGAAAGACCGTGTGACTAGGGTTGCCAGGTGTCCGGTTTTGACCCGGACAGTCCAGTATTTGAGCTTTCTGTTCGGGAAGCAAATTGAGAAAATATAAATAAGAAAATATTAATGTCCGGTATTTTCTAAATAAGATGTAATGTACAGGGCTTGACAAATCGCTGTTTCTACTCACCTGTGGCAAGTAGATTTCAGCCGGTCACCCCGTTCACCAGCAGCATGTGCCTGCACAATGCGGGTCTTGCGCATGCACATTGCGGGGCTGGCGAGTAGATTTCACCGCCATTTGTCAAGCCTTGATAACATAGATTGTGATGTAATGTTAAGTGTGTCTGGTATTTTTGTTGAAACCATCTGGCAACCCTACCTGTGACAGTAAGACATGTTCAGCCCTGTATAAAACATTCACAAATGCACTCACAAAGTTTTAAAGATGGAAATATTGGTGAAAAATAACACAGTGGTTACTGATCAATATTTCAAAAACAAAGGAAGAAATGCTTTGTTTTTGAAATATTTTGAAATATAAAGAAATGCTTTGTTATGAATGTAAATAATAATCTAATTTTTAAAATTGCTGTACATCTTTAGTACTAATTAACTTCAATGGGGACTATGGCGTTCAATATCTCAGGAAAAAAAGCTAAGAGTATGGCTACAGGAAACAATATGTTTGAAAATGTTATTCACAATAGCCACAAAAAACAAACAAACTTGGTGGTGAAGCTGTCATCAACATCTTTTTGGTCATCTTTATTTAAAGCAGTACAGTTGCCTATAAAATTCTCATAACATTAACACATTCATTTGTTTTTTCTATAAGGCTCAGACTTCCTCACCTCTATTTACATAAGAACATAAGAACGGCTATACTGGGTCAGACCAAATGTCCATCTAGCCCAGTATCCTGTCTGCCGACAGTGGCCAGCACCAGGTGCCCCAGAGAGGGTGGACTGAAGACAATGATCAAGCGATTTGTCTTCTGCCATCCCTCTCCAGCCTCTGACAAACAGAGGCCAAGGACACCATTTTATCCCCTGGCTAATAGCCTTTTATGGACCTAACCTCCATGAAATTATCTAGCTTCTCTTTAAACTCTATTATAGTCCTAGCCTTCACAGCCTCCTCTGGCAAGGAGTTCCACAGGTTGACTACACGCTGTGTGAAGAAGAACTTTCTTTTATTAGTTTTAAACCTGCTACCCATTAATTTCATTTGGTGTCCTCTAGTTCTTCTATTATGGGAACTAATAAATAACTTTTCTTTATCAGCCCTCTCCACACCACTCATGATTTTATAGACCTCTATCATATCCCCCCTCAGTCTCCTCTTTTCTAAACTGAAAAGTCCCAGTCTCTTTAGCCTCTCCTCATATGGGACCCGTTCCAAATCCCTAATCATTTTAGTTGCCCTTTTCTGAACCCTTTCCAAGGCCAAAATATCTTTTTTGAGGTGAGGAGACCACATCTGTACACAGTATTCAAGATGTGGGCGTACCATAGTTTTATACAGGGGCAGTAAGATATTCTGGGTCTTATTTTCTATCCCTTTCCTAATAATTCCTAGCATCCTATTTGCCTTTTTGACCGCCGCTGCACTCTGTGTGGAAGTTTTCAGAGAACTGTCCACGATAACTCCAAGATCTCTTTCCTGATTTGTCGTAGCCAAATTAGCCCCCATCATACTGTACGTATAGTTGGGGTTATTTTTCCCGATGTGCATTACTTTACACTTATCCACATTATATTTCATTTGCCATTTTGTTGCCCAATCACTCAGTTTGGTGAGATCTTCTTGGAGTCCCTCACAGTCTGCTTCTGTCTTGACTATCCTAAACAGTTTGGTATCATCTGCAAATTATTATTTAAATCGCGGCTTCATTTCCCTTTGCCAAACAAACAAATCTACATGGCTCCATCGACGGAGCCATGTAGTTTAGACGTACCCTTACTGTCTCTATTTATTACCCATAGATATTCCCAGGACAAAAATCAATTCAAGCAAATTCCAATTTGTTCCTGAATATGCAAATCATCATTACAGCCAGATCCATGAAACAGCAACCCACTCACATTATCTTACATATGCTTGGCAGATTCTAGCAGTCATTGGACAGATGAATTGCAAACAAATAAACAAAAAATTGTTGTATCAAGCCAGGTTGAACCACTAATCCAATCTAATCTGCTCTGGTAACATCCATGGTCCAGCATGATTTTAGTGAGCTGGATGTCCACTGATCATGGGTGTGGCCAAAGTTCCCATGGTCCCATAAAGTTTGTTTACAGCTTCCAGTCCTCGCGCTCAATGTTCTGTGCTGCTATTTAGCTTTAATTTACCTCTAAATATCTTCTAAGCACCCGATAGGCAGTGTAAGTCTTGGTAATGCTGCTAGACAATACTGAACTCCTGTGGTTTGGCAAATTCTCTGGTTCAGCACAGGTCAGGTCTCAAAGCTACTGGACTAGAGAATTTCAATCTGTACATTACTGTATACCTATGTAGCACTGCTAATGGCCACTAGATATCACTAATGCTTTACCAGCTGCCGTACAGAAGTGAAATACAAACAGTCCAAACCGTTAAAAGGAAATATGTTGCATACTAATGTTGAAATAAAGTTTAAAGGCACCACAGTATTTTACATGGCAAAAATAAGCATATAGTTTCTGCACAGTAATTGTCAAACACATAAAGTCATGATTTCTAAGGAGCTCTGTCATTATCAGAACACTCTTGCAGGTTGTGTTATAAAATGGGAATTACGACAAGGTGCATATTATTATAAAGGAAGGGTTTACAATGTATTTTATGAGAGAGGACTGCATAATACAATTAACATAATGATAGTGTTTAATATACTGCCTGTCATCTGAAAGAGCTAATACGGCTTCACAAGTGCTCTGCTTACGATTCCACCACAATGCCTTAGGGGTGTAGTGGGGTTTCCAGCTAGCGCAGCACTGTGGGGAGAAGGGAAATTTTGCCTAAGGGGGAAGGACTGCTGCTTGACTGATACAGCTGGGACATTGGACTGGGGATCATTCAGTGCTACAGATCTGGTCTACACTTCAATTTTGCTGCCATAACTGTCAGGAATGTGTGTGTATGGGGGAGGGGGGAAGAAAATCACCCCTGGCCTTCCACATAGCTCTGACAGAATAATCCGACCATAAAATCCTAGAACACTAGAACTGGAAGAGAGCTCAAGAGGTCACCAAATTCAGTCTCCTGACCTCTCAGAAGGACCAACCATTCTAGACCATCCCTGACAGATGCCTGTCTAACCTGCTCTTAAATATCTCCAGTGATGGAGATTCCACAGCCTCCCTAGGCAATTTATTCCAGTGCATAACCACCCTGACAGGAAGTTTTCCCTCATCTCCAACCTAAATCTAAAGCCTAGACTGCTATCCCAGGAAAAAAAAAGGGGCCTTTTGCTGGTATTGCTTATTTAATTTGGAGACCCGGTGTAAGCTGCTAGCAGAAGCACTCTTTAGCTTGTATTAACTGCACTTTTACTAGGGAGGTTTATCAGCAACCCTTGCTAGTGTAGACAATGCCTGAGTCTGTAGAGCCTGAGCTATAGAGCCAGGTTCTGTTGGGGAGTTAGAACATCTCCACAGCTCCTGTGGACTGGCAGCATATAACACACCCTGATCAGTGGCTTTCAGCAATACCCAAACTACTGGTTGGACACACAATATTGTTAATAGCCACAAAGCGCAGACTGGCTCCTATCAAAGAGCCTTACACAGGCAGGGCTGGGACGAAAAAGCACATCCTCGCTGAGCCGGTATCCATCCCTAGAAGCAGTGCCTCTCAGGGCCTACCAGCTGCTCTTGGCTTTGCACTGTCACTGATACTAGTGGGACTTAGTCTCCATGGCGATGAGCACATAATTTCCATGATAGATACTTGGTGCTCAGCAACTCACACTGAAGTTAATTGGAGTTAGGAGCAGTGCTCCCTGGAAACTGAGTGCTTGGGCGGCCATTGAGCAGAAATTAGCAGAGCCCTCCCAGCCTGCAGTATGTTTGTACTGGTGGTGCACACCCACGTATGCCTTGGTGCATGCAACAAAATTTATTCTACACAGAGATGGAAAAAATTAGAAGGAACTTTGGTTAAGAGCTTAACTTCTGTGCCTTTGAGCAACTGGGCTTTGGTGAATGGTGGTAGTTACAGAACCATAAAAATGTCAGGCAGGAACG